GGGGGAGATCGGGGGAAGGTCGGGGAAGTCGGTGGTGGTTGGGGATGGCGGGCAGGGGGGGCACAAAACGATGAGCAAGAAGAAGAAGGAGGAGAAGCGGAGAAGGAGGAGGAGAAGAAGAGGAAGAGGAAGAGGAAGAGGAAGAGGAGGAGGAAGAAGAGGAAGAGGAAGAGGAAGAGGAGGAAGAAGAGGAGGAAGAAGAGGAGGAAGAAGAAGAGGAAGAAGAGGAAGAAGGTCGGGGAAGTCGGTGGTGGTTGGGGATGGCGGGCAAGGGGGGTACAAAACGATGAGCAAGAAGAAGAAGGATAAGCGAAGGAGGAGGAGGAGGAGGAGAAGAAGAGGAAGAGGAAGAGGAAGAGGAAGAGGAAGAGGAGGAGGACGAAGAGGAAGAAGAGGAGGAGGAGAAGAAGAGGAAGAGGAAGAGGAAGAGGAGGAGGAAGAAGAGGAAGAAGAGGAGGAAGAAGAAGAGGAAGAAGAGGAAGAAGAAGAGGAAGAAGAAGAAGAAGAAGAAGAAGATCTCTCTCTCTCTCTCTCTGTATATATATATATATACTACTACTACTACTAACTCACTTACCTTGGCACGATAGCGGGGTGACGCGCGATGGCGGGCGTCGGCGGGCGTCGACAGAAGTTGGCAGAGCTGCCGTCGACAATTGACACTGCCGAAGGGAGCCGTCGGGCGGTAGGGGTAACGGGGGAGTGGAGATCGACGGCGCAGATGGGCCAAGATTTCGAATTTGAGGAGGAGGGCCTACCGGCCCTGTTTTTTTTTCTCCTTCAACCTGGAGGGCCTCCTGTGGGGGGAAAAAGCCTCGCGTCGAAATCGGACTCCTCCTCCTCCCCCCCCTGTGATGCGCTGCGGTCGTCCAGTGGCCAACCGGGCGGGACAACCGGCCAGGCGGCCCGCCCCCCCCCTGCGGCGACGAGCAGGTCACCGGGCGGCCCGGGGACCAGCCTAGGTGGAAAGAGCTTTTGGACATGGATTTTCTATTTTTTAATGTATGAATAAAGTAATAATGAGTGTAATGGAAGGACATGGAGAGATACTGGGATGATTATTGGGTTGTTTTCTCTCCTTTCTTTATTTATTTCTTCTTGCCAAATCACTTAGCCCCTAACATTATTGCATTCATCTGTTCCATGAGGGTTCAAACTCATGATATGTTGGCTTACAGTTACATAATACATACACCATTCACTCTTCTGCATCAAATCTCAAATGATTACATCCACCAGTCAGCCACATGCTTCTGTTTCAGCTCTCTCTATATTCTCCTTCTTTCGTTACTACTACTAATTTGCTTCATCGATGTCTTGTCTTTTGCAATGCGCTTCATGCTGATACTCAGAGTCTCTGTTTTGCAACATGAGTTCAACTTCGACGAGAGCACAAAATGGAGATTGGGAGTAAACGCATAAAGTGTGCAAAATCAAGATCCGGAGCATAAGCATGAAGTCGATTACAACGGACAAGACAATGATTGTAGAAAATTAGTAGTACTAGCGGAAAAAAGAGAAGACAAAGCGCTGAACCACATTGTCATTTTGCTGCATTGTCATCCAGTCCTATTGGTGAGTCTTTCCACTGCGTCAGTTTGCATCTCTTCCTCATGTCGATGATCTTTGGACTTGCAGTGATGCATCACTTTGAAACAGTTCACCAATCATCACTTTGAAACAGTTCACCAATCATCCACAAGTTTTCTTGTGGATGATTGGTGAACTGTTTCAAAGTGATGCATGCCTCATAGTCACTGCAAGTCCAAAGATCATCGACATGAGGAAGAGATGCAAACTGACGCAGTGGAAAGACTCACCAATAGGACTGGATGACAATGCAGCAAAATGACAATGTGGTGCAGATCTGATCTCACTCACATGCAAGGAGTCCAAACATCGAAGAACCTCCCCCCTAGACCATACACCGATGAAAGGTGGAGGATAATGGAAGAGGAAGATGAAGAGCAGGAAGAGGAAAGGGAGGAAGAGGAAGAGCAGAAAGCCGAAGAGAAGGAAGAGGAAGATCAGAAAGACGAAGAGCAGGAAGAGGAAGAGCAGGAAGAGGAAGAGGAGGAAGAGGAAGAGCAGAAAGTCGAAGAGCATGAAGACGAAGAGCAGGAAGACGAAGAGGACGAAGATGAGGAAAAAGAACTAGAAGAAGAAAGGAATAAGAAGAAGTCTGACGAAGACGAACAAGAAGAAAAAGAAGAAGACCCAATGTCGGCAGCGCTGAGTAATAATAGTCTCTCCTCCACCTCTCACTCCCCTCAACCTCCACACATCCTCCAGTGATGAATCGCAGATACTGAAGAGGGAGCCGTTTCCCACAACAGCAGTGTCAAGCCTCCATTCTCTCCCTCTCCTCTCTCAAGAAGAAGAGATTTAGGACCAGGAGAAAAAACGTGGAACTATCTCTCTCTCTTTCTCTCTCTCTCTCTCTCTCTCTCTCTCTCTCTCTCTCTCTCTCATGAAACTTACACTGGCCGGTGAAAGAGCATTGACCCGCTGATGGCTGTGCGGGTGTCCCGACGAAGATGAAGACCAGCTATGGCTGGCGGCAGACCTCCTTGGGCATGGTGCCAGGTAAGTGGGCTCCTCCACCTCACCTCTCCCTCTCCTCTTCTCCTACAGCACTAATCTCTAGCTCCTTGACGCTGCTCCTTCACCTCTACCAGCACCAAACTGCTCAAGCGGGCAGTGTGGTGGCACGCAGATGAAGTGAGAATTACCTCCCAGCTACTCGGCCGACCTCTCCTAAATAGTGCTGGGCCAGCATACAACCCAAGTCGGCCTTCATGTGGGCCGTTCTATCAGAATGGAAATTGGCAGTCGCTGCATCAGCAGCAGGGCTGGAAGAAAGAAAACGGTCTGACTCCAAAATCGAGAGCAGGCCCAGCCTCAAAAGTGAGCTGGACCAGGAGACGTGCTGCTGAGCTTAGAACAGACAAAAGCACCTGTGTCTGGACTCAGACCGGACAAAATACTCACACGCCTTCTTGAAATCAAAGCAGGCAAACTGGGATGAGAGGTTGTGAGAGCAGACAAAAGCACATGCACCTAGACTCAAAACAGTAAAATAGTAAAATCAAAAGCAAGCAAGTGCGACTGAGGACAGACAAAGACAAACACGCCTGGACTCGGAAGAGACAAAATACGTACACGCCTATCTGAAATCTAAAGCAAAGGGTGCTACGGTAGGCTGAGTGCAGATGCACGTATTTGCACTCAGGACAGCCAAAGACTCACCCGCCTGCCTGAAATCAAAGCAAGGCCCTATATACAATGTCAGGCCTAAGGGCTCGTGTAGGAGGCTCTAGGCATGCTACACAAAGGTAGACAAGAAGTGGAGAGGAGGCGGAAGTTTCATCAATATTTAATGGATACAATTGAACAGCTCTTCCATTCCCCCTTCCAACTCTAGGACACCTTCCACCAGACTCTCCATCTCAGCATGCATCTCCCTATTGCTGCCACTGAAGAAGTCTCTCCACAGATGTCCCCACAGGTGGGCCTAACATCCAGCACGAAGCTCAGCTGTGGAGGTTGGCACTCACCTCCTTCAGTCTTCAGGAGCAAACTGATGTCTCAACACCACCTGCCTCTCTCTCTCTCTCTCTCTCTCTCTCTCTCTCTCTCTCTCTCTCTCTCTCTCTCTCTCTCTCTCTC